GAGGGGGAGGGGAGAGACTTTCCTCAGCTTGAGCTACTTATATGTATGTGGAAGCAAGCTGATTTTTTCTACATGGTACAAACTGGAAGGGATTTCCTCAACATTAGTAATGATCTTTAAAGAATTTTAGGACATTTTTTTCTTATTAAGAAAAGCATTATTTTAAGTACTTGGAAAGCACCTATTCACAAATGATTACAAACCAAATCAGGTTGGTGAGTTTCCTGAGCTGACTCCTGCAATGACTTCTTTGAAGAATTACTGTTAGTTTAGACGGAATAGTTCATTCAGTGACAAACATTTTAGAGCACTCTTTCTATGAACCACATTTATATGCTAGGTATTGAGGAACTACAACATAAAGATGAGTTTCTGCCTTCATGGAGCTTATCAACTACTTAGTAAATTAGGTATACACTATATCTACCAAGCAGTTATAATGTCCTCGTTTGAAATGTAATTCACAACTTTTATTAAGTCCAACTGAACCTTCTTTCAACAGCATAAATTCTCCTAGGTCTGATTTTTCAACCAGTCAGTTCTAAACATCTCTTAAGAAGTACAAAATTCCTTCTAGCAGATGTCTGCCAGCCCTGCAGTGTTGGGGACCCCCATGTCACCTAGTCACCAAGGGCAGAAACTGCAGGGCCAGCTGGGCTCCCTCTGCAGCCTCACAGCCATCCAATTCACCAAGTCCAGGGGATGTCAGCTTCTCAGAAGCCATCTCCTCCTTCTCTCCTGTTCAGCTTTTCTAGCTCTGACCTCACCAAATCTTGTCAAAACTTCAATAGATAAGTTTTTCTTTAAATAGAAATGGTTTTCCTGGTTATAATAGAAACACATCCTCAGTGTATAACTTTTTTTCAGACAATAAAGACAGTAGAAGGAAAGAATGATGTCACCCGTCATCTTACCACCTAGAAATAACCACTATTAGGCTCCTTTTTTCTAGACTCATGGATCCTTTTTAATCCTCAAACCAAAGCTGGGTCTTACAAAATTGGATCTTTTGTGAATTTCTTTTTTCTCTTACAGCAAGTGCTACAGGTATCTTTCTGGGGTAATAACCATAGCTCATCACTACTTCTTAAAGCAGCACAATACCTCAGCGCCTAGACTGAGGATGCAATGCCCATGGCTCTGTTCTGCCAGCATCACTTAGTGGAACTAACTGCACTTCCCACACCAGCCATGCAATTGTGTTCCATTCGGGTGGCTTGAACCGGTGCCAGTCTTGACCCCTTATCTCCCCCACTCCCCATGCCTCCAAGGATGGGCACATGATCCACAGGACTCGACTCGACCAAGGCTCACTTGAAAGGTGGGTTTACCATCCGAGTCCCGCCTATCACAGTTGCTCCATGATGCGCGCGCTGCTTTTGGAGTCAACATCTTGCTGCTACGGTTACTAAGCAGGC